TACGGAGGTATCCAAAAGCCTGTTCACTGACAATGGACTAATTTAAAACAGTTTGTTTCATTTCATTACACAAAGAATCCATGTTTATAATGAAAAGTTAAGAAATACTGTCTAATATACCACACATAAGAAAAGGCTTTATTCGAGCACTCTAGGGGTCTACCAGAAGAACTCAATGTAAAAACTGAAAAGTACCGTGCCTGAGGAATAATCATTTGGATGGAGGGCACTAAGGGAGATTTTTAACTTTTCATAGTGTTTAAACTATTAATTGTTATTTGTATTTCCATACACAACTTCTCAGTTTAAAAGAATAGGCATGCAGTAGTAAGTTATCTAAATAAGAGTGGTGAAGAACATCTCAAGAATTTAAGAAAAGCATTAGAAAAATTCCAGTGTGTTTGCCTTCTACATATTTAAATATTTTATTGTGTAGGAAGGAAATATCACAATATGAAAATTCAGTATGAAATAATGAGACAATGGGGTAAGCCACAAAATATTTTTTTTGGAAATAAATTTAGCAAGATACGTGCAGAACCGATTCAAACAAAACTATCACGTATTTCAGGAGCATTTAAGAGGAGAGATATGCTTTCATGGGAAAGACCAGTGTCAACATATCTGTTTTCCTGAAACAAAAACATTAACTCCATGTTATCTCAACAGAAATCCCAAGCAGTTTTTCATGTTTTTGGAGGAGGAAGGGCATAAAAGAATGATTTAAAAATTGCATCTAGAAAAATGAGTATGTGTGAATGGCCAGGATAATTAAAAATAAATAAAACTTTTTGCAGGGAAAGTAAGATATCAAATATGGAAATTTATTGAAATTAACTATTACGTGTCAATAATGCAAACCTCTTCATCGCGCTACCAAGGAAAGACCACACAATCAGTAGAATGCAATAGGCATTGCCAATCAATTCAAGTGCTTGTAGATATATAGTGTACCGGGGGCTTCAAAAAAATGTAATAGAAAGGAAATAGATTTTTTTCCTTGAACCATTTAAATCCCTCTCAAGTGTATACCAGAGGTGCTATTGCAATTCAGCAGGAAAGATTATGGAATTAGTGGTCTGGGGAAAACTGAGTAGCCACTAGACTAGGAGAAATAAAAGATGTGTATTCTTCTCCCGGTTTATATTGCCAAACACATTCCAGACAGATGCGAATAAATAAACAAGTTTCAGAAGACACCCTAAGCGAATATTTGTGTGGCTTATAATGTAGAATAAACCTCTCTAAGTAATCTTACTGAACCAAATGTCACAATAGACAAGATGCACATACCCTGTTTCCCTGAAAGTAAGACATCCCCCCAAAATAAGACCTACTTACAGTTTTGCCTCTCCCTGAAATATAAGGCATCCGCCCGAAAATAAGACCCCCACGGAAATAAGAACCGACCGAAGCTACCATTAACTCTGGACTATGGTCCATAGGGGTGCAGCCGCGCAGCTCACTGTTGGACTCAGCCCAGCCGGAGCCGAAAGGAAGTGCGAGGTCTCTTTTAATAAAACAATACACAATAAATGTGTACCATTTTCTGCTTCATGGAAAATAATACATCCCTTGACAGGGTATTTGAAGCATATAAAAATTACACTTTGTAAGATTAAGTCAAAAGGATGTCGTGCAGAAAATATTTGCAAAGCCTTCCTAAACTTTCCCTAACAAAGCTCTAATTTCCCTAACAAATGAATACAGTAACCGATCCCAACATATAAGCA